CCTCCCAAGTCGACCCCTGTTCTTTAGCTATGTTCCCTTCATCTGGCCACTCTGCACATGCGCACACTGGGAACACACTCCAGCTGTTCTTCTGTCTCACTGATGTCTGATTCTGAAGGCAGCTGATAACTGTCAGACGGCCCTGGCCCCCTCTCTGCCTCCGACACAGAGCCCTCCTCAGAGCCTTCCCCAGACTCCAGGACTGGTCCATTTTCCTCCCAACCTCCAAATCTGCTGCCAGCTCTGCTGGACACCTACGGGCCACAACAGGAGCTGGCTAATCTTTCTGGGAACGTAGCCGCAAACTCCGGGACGAGTTTTCTTTTCTTTCAAGTCACATAAAAGTGCGAGAGACAGCTTGGCAGTGAATTCACTGCCAGGAACCCTATTACCCAGTTTGCTGCCAGGCCGGTGGGATGAGCGTTGCGAGAGATGAGCCCTCTCACTCACCAGTCGTTTTCAGATTCGAAATAGCAGACGGAGATGAGGCGAGCGCCGCTTCCGACCGCAAATTTGTTCTCCAGAGGGGACCATTTCACAAAGGTGGCTGCTCGGTTGATCCGGAGGATGACCAAAGTCGGCTTCCAAACTCCGTCCTTCTGGCTCCAGACGTAAGCGTTGCGATCAGCCCCGCAGGTCACGATGCGGTCGCTCTTGGGGGCCCAGTCGATGCCTGAGATGGAGAGAAAGGGCCCGTTAACGGCTCAGCTTTTGAAGGCCACCGTTCTGAGATCATTACTGTGCTTCTTAAGCTTGGCAAGTTTCAGGTGCGTGGACTTCAACTCCCAGAATTCCCCCCAGCCAGCTGGCTGGGGGGAATTCTGGGAGTTGGAAGTCCACGCACCTGAAACTTGAGAAACACTGTTTTAGGGTTTTAATCTTTCACAGCGGCATCTTAGATTGGTCTACTTTTGCTATTTACTGCGCCGAACATCAATTTGTCAAGATGTCAAGTCCCTAATCGTCAGAGAGAACCAAGGAAACGAGGTTCCCATAGAGCTTCGTTCATGGGGTGGAACGCCAAGAGAGAGGGAACGGGAATGCAGAGTCTTCAGAACAAAACTGAACTGAAAGCTGTCGTTTATGTGTGAATTCATTCGTTCTATCTCTTTTCCCAGATAAGATTGAGATGCCCATCTGCTTCTCCTTGGCCATGTTTCAAAGTCTTCCCAAGTTTTCTTTCTTAGCCTCCGAGATTTCTCTTACATCAGGTGTCGTATGCGTTTACACAAGCGTACACCCTACACCTCCTCTTTAATTCCTAAAGTGGTTTAACCAGGAATTCGGAAGAGCAAGAAAAAGATGAACGTTTCTCAGTGAAATGGGCCATAAATGTTGGCTTAGTCATATGCCAATGATATGTATCAGCCCAGTAATGGATACGTTCC